TTCAGCAATGTTGAAGCAGGAAGGCTGTAAGAAATTGAAAGACAAAGAGAAGGAACAAAAACTGATTAATTAAGCATACAAACGGCACCAACCACTTAAGGTTGAACAAGATGCAAAATATAATATTTAATACACTTTCTATCAACTATTACCACTACACAATTGAACTACTACATCAGCTTTTCAAAGGACAGAATAGCCTGTCATATGGCAAGGTCCAACACCTTGATCATTACAACAAAAAACGTGTGACAAAGTGGTCATACAAAAATTTCTTGAATCAATAAAAGTATTACACAACATTCATCAGCACTTCTTAAATCATTATTAATCAATGTCGGGACAGAAGATAAATGGGGAGAAAAGTTGCATTGTCATGTCTAATAATTGTCCCTTGGCTCGTGTACAAGTAATATGAGATATGACTGGTTATCAGGCTAAAAATTGTATTTAAACTATTTGGGAGCTCCACTATATAAAAGCAAGAAACGGGGTCATTTATTCCAGGATCTTATCCAACATAGAAACATTGTCGCCCGAAGATAGTTCTGCTTATTGAAAGTGCTCTAACATCAAGTGATTAACCCCTCGAGCACAGTTATCGAAAAGACAGATAGTTTATTTAACAGTTTCTATGGAGAGATAAGCCAGATTAGGTGCAGATCCATTGGGCTAAATGCGGTAAACTATGTTTTCCAATCGAAGAGGAAGGCCTTGGAGTTAGAAAGTTAATGAGGTGGTTCAAGCTTTTAGCTTTAAACTACGGTGGAAATTTCAACTTGACAATTCACTATTGGCAAACAACATAAAGCTTAAATCCTTACTACTTATAAGAGTGAATGTCTATACACTTTTAATAGTTTCGTCCAATACGATGACGACGTTTCTTCAATCGGCAATCCTGATTTTCTTTTCTGCCACTTCCCATTTTTTGAGCTACTAACTTTATTGTCACTACTTTATTGACTTTCACACGTAACCATCATTTTCATTTCTCTCTCTCTCTCTCAAACATTCTAAAATTTTTAAATTATCGAATATTTAGACCCACCGTTCGAAATTATATAATTAAAAGTAACAAGTCACTTTTTAATTGTTTTTAAATGATTAGATCATACAAGTCAATTTATCCTAAGTTTGAATACCACAATCAATAATTAAAGCAATAAAGAACACCAAAGATGATCACGGAGAAATCCCAACTGAGTAAAAACTCCAAGCACTTTGTTAGTCAATAATCCACTGTAAATGGAAACAAACTTACAGTACGGTCTAGACCCATCTACCCCGTAGAATTTCTGACCTCAATTTGTACAGTCTCGATTGATCCTACTAGAGGTATGCTCCTTCAAAAAAAATACCGACTCCTAGTTTATACCGTAGCCCTCTTGGACTACATGTTCCGAACACCGATCCCAACTCCTGGTACCTCACTTTAGTCATCTTGAATTTGTGCTTCTGCAACATCTCCCAATCCCTGGTATCGATTTATCTCCGATGGATTAGGTAGTCTTGTGTTTGATCAAAAGATCTTGTATGTTTTGATGTTTAATATGAAACAATATGACTTGATCAACAAAATA